AAATGTCTTAAGAATCGCTGAAAAACCCTTTCAGTTAGAAATAGAACAGGTTAAAATCATTTTGTGTCAGCTCCACTGTCTTTACAACTGATCAATGGTGAGAGGAAAAAGATCATTCAGGCCTCCAGTAATGGTACCAGAATTCATACTCTGGCTTACATCTTCAAAGTCCGTTCAAGAACCATCAAGAAAACGGTGAATAAATTTAAAAAAAGAATAGAGAAAAGTGGATCTGGAGGTCACAATAGCAATAGGGATCATTTCAACTTAGAGCTAAATACATTCTTATTGTTCAAAGTAGAGTGCAATAGTGTTATTAAAACGTAAGAATTCCAGTAAGATATCTTTAATCATTTCTAAGATACAACAGTTCAAAGCTTAATCTAACAATTGGACAATTTTGCTGTTACACTGTGTGTGTGTGTATATATATATATATATATATATATATATATATATATTGAGTCATACTCAACTGATTTGATATCAGAAACACTTACCCCTAGGCTAGCAGCACACAGCAGAGAAAGGGAATTTTTAATGCATTATATACATGATATATAAATGCCCTACCAGTTGCCATAGCGCTCAATTCTAACAAAGAGTAATACATTAAAGCAGCAACATCCATTAAAAATTCCCTTTTCTCCATAGTGTTCAATTGGCGAACAAGAACACACATATTGATATGGATGTTTACCCACCTTTCTTTTCACTTCATTTTTATTTGACCTTTGCCATTAAAACTTCTCAACAATTTAATTTTTTTTTTTTTTTTTTTTTCAGTGCATGTTACCTTGGAACTCAAATGTTGGAGCTTGACTGTCATTTGACTCTTGATGGTCAAGTGGTTGTGTCTCATGACAACTGCCTTTTACGTATTTGTGGCTGTGAAATGCTCATCTCACAGACAGATTACAAGGTAAGAATTAGACTTTTTAGAATTGGTTGGAATATAAACTCTTTTCTTGGACATAGAGCATGATATCTTAGAAGTAGAAATGGTGAATTTGATTGGCATAAAGTATAAATTGATATATTCACTGTGTATTCTTATATACAGCGTATATTTACATGTATAAGGTGACAATATAGATAAGACAAGATCCAATATCTAAGTAAATTTTTGATTTTTATCTGATATCCATTGTCTAAGATTACCAAAAACGTAGGATAGCCTCAGCCACTAGTTAGGCCTATCATAATGATTCCTACAAGTATAAAATAAAATGTTGTTTTGCTTATCTTTATCATTATTAAATCAAAAGGAATTAAATAATATAAAGTATTAACATGAATCTTTATGAAAATAACAATAAGGATTTCATTCTGATGATTCATACGAATGAAAACAGAAGTTGCCTAATGAGAAATAAGAATTTTATGACAGCTTAAATGTTTTGTTGCTTAACACCATAAAAAACTGTATATACGTTACTGGAAAATGTTTGAATGTTATACAACACCAAACTGATAATGAATTTTAATTAGAAATATAGATTGTGTATATCTATATCAGTCTGTTCTTTATATATATATATATATATATATATACATACACACCATATATTTCACATGCAAATCAATCTTATAGATCAGACTTAGCATCTGGGTAAATTTTTGATTTTATCTGATATCTGTTGTATAAGTCCAAAAAACTCAGGTTAGCCTCGGTCGCCAGTATCAGTTAGATCTATCATAAAGATTCCTACGAGTATAAACTAAAGCTGGTGTTATTACAAATGTTATCATTAAATATTATTAAATCAAAAGGAATAAAATAATATAAAGTATTAACATAAATCATTATAAAAATAACAAAATCGATTTCATTCTTATGACTCATATGAATGAAAAAAAAAAGTTACCTAATGAGAAATAAAGATTTTATGACATCTTAAATGTTTTGCTGCTTAACACCACAAAAAATACCGTAATGTATGTTATTGAAAAATAAATTTTGCATGTTATTGTTAAATTAATTGTTAGTATTTAACATCACAATGATAATTTTAATTAGAAATATTGATTGAATATTATCCTAAATGTTATTTAACACTACTATGAAAAATAATGATTGGTGTGAATGTACCCATATCTCTACAAATCAAAAATGACAGATTTGTTTACGTTACTTGTGCATGTTGGTCAGTGGAACTTTTGCAAAATGTTGTGTAATTGTCTCTTGGATATTACGTTTTAACATGAAATCAAAAAGTAAAAGTAGTAGTTTTATTATATTGAAGACTAATACAGCATTATGTGAATTGTTTCAACTAGAAATATTTATATCAGAGGTTACCATACAGGATTTAAAGTTAGCTTTTTGTAACTGCTGTATTAGATGAACCCCTATTTCTGGGGGCAATTTTTACATCATAATGTCATTTTTTTTTTAAAAAAAAAGTATATGTGAAAATAAATAATTCCCCCAGAAATACCTTGAATGCTGTAAAGATGTTGCCCAAAGACTCACTTTCTAAGAATCTGACAAAATGGGGCAATATATATATATATATATATATATATATAAATTTTTTTTTTTTTTTTTTTTTTTTAATTTAGTCTGGTACTAGACCACAAACTAGATGTGTAAGCCTAAAACTAACCATACTGGCATATGGTTTAACAAAATTAGGTCATTAACCATTGCTCTAAGCCACAAACCTGCATTATACCACTTATTTTTTCTGTTTATTTAAAATCTATAAATTTGTATTTTATCATTTTGATAAGTTCTTATTAATGTTAGAACTACTAATGGCATTAGTATTGATTTACTAACCATGACTGACTTGTGCAAGGAGGATGAAAGACTGACTTTAAGAGAAGGTGTGTCAAAGGCACAGAAGTAAGAATTGATTATAGCAAGTATAAAAATGTTTACCAAATGAACAAGTTTTCAGCTTTATTTATAGAGATTTAAAAAAAGCTGTTACTACACTTGTTTGTCCACATTAATATTCTGTAACTTTCATTAATGAGGTATTAAAATTGTACAAATTCAGAAATAATAGCAAAAACTGACAAGTGACATGTCTTCTAAAATTGGATTAAATGAAGTTATTTTAAAAAGTGCTCACTACAGAGTAGAACTTCATAATAGTACTCAGTTGTGTACGTGTGTACACACCTTTTGCATGTGTCTGCATGCAGATATGTGCCTTTGTGATGTATCTGTATGAGTGTGGATATGTATGTCTTCATCTAATTGTGCGTAGTTGTGTGTGTGTATATATATATATATATATATATATATATACACACACTTTTTCTATGTGTTTATGTGCATGTATATATGTGCGTGTGCACATGCACACATATATATATATATATATATATATATATATATATAAAAAATCTCTGTTAATGTGCACATTTGGGGTTTACAATATGTCCGTGCTATTTCTGCTCCTTGTGTCCATATCCAGCCTCTGTTTATATGTTACTATGTATATGTGGGTGGGTTTATAATTGTATGTATGTATGTGCATATGTATATGCACATATGTATGTTTGTATACATTCATAGGTGCATGTATTTGTGCTTCTTACTGGTATGTATTTCCATCTGCATATTTACCTGGATGTGTGTCTGTGTTCACATATTGATTTGAGCATGCATGGGTACACCTTACGGAAGTACTTATTTATTTGAACATTAGTCGTTGTTTATGTTTATTCTGCTTTGGTGTTTATGTCTGTATCTATATAGGTGTATCTGCATGTGTAGCTAAATAAAATGGATATGGTGTATTTTTTAATTCAGCTAGTACTTTCAAATCACGCATTCATCTTCATTCATGTAATTCTTGTAATATATCCAGCTATGTATATGAGAGCCATTTTTATTTTATCAGAAAGAGATGGTTCTAAATTTTCCAAATTGTCAAATATTTCTGCACCTTCCTCGCAAAGTTTATAATCACTAGATGTACATTGGTGACATAAAGATGTCTACTTAATATGCAGCTTTTCAATTCACTGTTGAACATATAGGTGCCACTTGTTCCTTGAAGTTGACTAAATTCTTTTTCTAATGAATCAGTTGTAAATTGCCCAAGTAGCAAATATTTATGGCTTGTAACAAAAAGATGTTGACTAACAATTCCATTGTGTGTATGGCAGTAGCAGTGTGTTTGGATAATTGTTTTATACAATTACCTTGATTGTCAGCCATATTAAGAACCATTTGACCAAACTCGGTGATAAAATCAAATCGGCTGTCATTCAGAAATTGTAGAGGTTCATTCCATAGTTTATAAATTTAAAAGGTTTTAATATTTAAAATTTTCCATCATGTCAAAACCTTGTTTTTGAAGATGGCAGTATTCTTATCTGCACTTGTTCCAGACTGAGTGAGAAGTGCATTAATGTCTTCTGAAAACACTCTGAAGCAAATAGAAATCTGTTGTCTTTCTATGGGCTTTGGCACAATGGAAATTTCATTTAAATCTGAAAGTTTAACTCGTCTTTCAGATTCGAAACAATATAACAGTTGCAAAATGGGCACATGTTAAACAATCAAAAATTAGTTCTGTCTTTTCTGTGAGCTACAAATTGTGAATATAATCAAAAAGCAAATGTTTATTATCTTCAGTTAACCAAGGTTTTTCATGGAACATGAGATATCATTTTTAAAAAACTTTATTTACTTGATTGCTATAACATATAATAGTCTTTAGCTGGTACAGAGGTGATGGCCTGAATTGTTAACTCAGTTTGTTCAAATAAAAAGGCTGATGTTAATTTTGAAATTGGAATCAATCTTGTAAGCAATTTTAGACCCCCATTAAGACATATCAGCATTATACCAAGTATTATTTGAGCAAGTATAGATGGATTGTCAACTGACTTACCAAATAATTGTTTGCCATGATATAGTAACATTTTCTTGATATATATGTCATCATGGAGAATTATGCACCATTTTTGGCTGGCATTAAGAGTATTAAATACAGATGTCAAAATTATTTTTTTTATTAAGTTTTCAGACTTTT